ACCATATTAATAATGAATATAATAATAACAACAATAATAATAGCAATAATGATAAAAGTAAACACAACTAGCCTACAATAATAACCAACCAATCAAACCCATGAAATCCATCACCCCACCACAACCAACAACACCCCTCAAAACAAGATAACAAACAAATAAACAAAAACACAAAACCCCAGAATAATAAATTCACAAACTGGATTCCCCAAACCCCTTAAAATTCGCCCTAAAATTCGCGACCTGGCAACCCATCCCCCCACGATATCTGCCGACGTCAACAATAGAGACAGTCGCTTGACACGGCTTGGTTGAGTTGAAGTTCTGTTTGGCATTACAAGGTTCGTGCTTGAATTACGGGGTTTGGGGTTGTCTGGAGCGAATTAGTGGTTAGGGGAGTGCTCGTACGCTCTTGTAGGTACAGGTAGAATAGTTGTTGTAATGGTAGAATGGGTAGTTTGGTTGATAATGTGTGGGTCAGGTCATTGGCTTGCAACATTTGGAGATTTTTTTTTCTTCTGTTGAATGATTTTGTAAAAAAAAAAAAAGTCTGGAATTCCTATATTGATATCATGCACTTGTTCTCATAATCAATCGCATTAGACTTGTAATCTGAATTAAACAATGGTTTGCATCAGTCTTTTCTTTTAACATTAACAAATCCCAATTTTGATATGAGAACCAGTTTCAAGTAGATACGTACCTGACATACAAGTTTTCTAAATAACGGCAGATCGAATTGATTGTTGTGTGTGTGTGGGTTGTGTGTGTGTGTGTGTGTGTGTCGTGTGTGTGTGTGGTGTGTGTGTTGTGTGTGTTGTGTGTGTGTGGTGTGTGTGGTGTGTGTGGTGGTGGTGTGTTTGTGTGTGTGTGTGTGTGTGTGTGTTGTGTGTTGTTGTGTGTGTGTGTGTGTGTGTGTGTGTGTGAGAGAAAGAGAGATTTAAAGTGTCATTGTATATGTGTGTGATGTATGTGTGTAATTGTGTGTGTGTATTGTTGTTGATTGTGTGGTGTGTGTGTATACATGTGTGTTAGAGAGAGAGGGAGAGAGATTATATGTGTGTATTTGTGTAATTGTATGTGTGAATTTGTGTAATTGTATGTGTGTATGTGTGTGTGTGAGAGAGATTGTATATGTCATTGTATGTATGTATATGTGTGTATGATTGTATGTGTGTATTTGTGTGATTGTGTGTGTGAGAGAGAGAGAGAGAATGAGAGATTGTATGTATCATTGTATATATGTGTGCATGATTGTATGTGTGTATTTGTGTAATTGTATGTGTGTATTTGAGTGTGTGTGTGTGTGTATGTGTGTGTGCATTTGTGTGTGTATGTATGTATGTATGTATGTATGTGTTTGTGTGTGTGTGTGTGTGTGTGTGTGCGTGGTGTGTGTGGTGTGTGGTGTGCGTGTGTGTGTGTGTGTGTGTTGTATGTGTGTATGTGTGTGAGAGAGAGAGAGCGAGAGAGGTTGTATGTGTGATTATATATGTGTGTGTGACTGTATATGTGTATTGGTGCAATTGTATATTTGATTATATATATATGTGTATTGTATATGTATTATATATATTGTGTATTGGTGTAATTGTATTTGTGATTATGTGTGTTTGTGTGCCTGTTTGTGTATGTGTGTGTGTGTGTGTGATAGTACACATATGTGTCCATGTTTATAGATATATTTGTTATTTACATAGTTTTCAGCGTGCATATTTAAGTTCTAAAATATATTCTAAACATTAAATGTAAAAGCTGCATGACACAAATCCATATTTAGGCAGAAGGAAAAAAACAGGATAACATCTTGGGAAAACCAGAAAAACATGTTGCTTAATCATTTTGAATTTTCTTTTAGCAGTTGAATGAATAATTCTTGAGTAGTGGATTATCTTATCTAATCTATACTTACTTTCATCATAAATGCAGTGGATATTATAAGGAGTCTGATAAAGGGTGCTGAGAATTTATTAGACATATATTTATATACATACATACATATATATATATATATATATATATATATATATATATATATATATATGTATATAATATATATGTGTATATATATATTATATATTATATATAATATATATATATACATATATATTTATATATATATATATATATATTATATATATATATTTATGTATAATATATGGTATATATATACATATATATATATATATTATATATATATATATATATATTATATATATATATTTATATATATATATTTATATATTATATATTTATATATATATATTTATATATATATATATATATATATATATATATATATATATATATATATATATATACATATGTGTGTATATATAATATATATATATATATAATATATATATATAATATTATATTATATATATATATATATATATATATAATTATACATATATATATATATATAATATATATATTTATATATTTAACATATATATAATATATATATATAATATATATATATTATATATATTATATA